CAGCTTCTTTGCCACCTGTTGACTCTGGAATGAAGTAGTAGGTCTCTGCCAGGGTTCATTGCCGCCCGTTCGTTTCAAGGTAAGAGTCACTGATGCCCTTGGGGATGATGCTTTGGCAGCCTTAAGCACGGGGTTTGCTGGCAGCCTTTCCACAGCGGCTCGATTAAAAGCACTGTTGGGTTCTGCCATCATTTGCCAGCCATGGTCTCTTGCCAGTTGTTGAGAAATTGCTGTCATGCTAGCAGGACCGTGCTTCTTGTTTTAAGGTCTCTACACTTGTTAGTGAACTACGTAGCGACGTTCTGGGTGGCCTGCGCTTGCGCTGCTATGGCCGCATTCATCATTCAGTTCTTGACAGCCAAGGCATGTTTGCATGAGGCTCATTCCCAGTTTGACAACTCTGTACATGTTTTTTTTTTTTTTCTCTCTCTCTCTCTCTCCCGTCATGGACGGCCAGTAGGCAGGGATATTTAAAGTTTGTTTGTCTTTTCCGCTTTTGCGGCAGGAAAGGACAGTAGTAAGTAGAATCGAATCACCGACCAAGTAGAAGGGGGAAGGGAGAAGACAAGTGGAAATTGAAAGAGGGGAAGGGAGGAAGGGAATGGGACAGTTAAAGCGAAGGATGGTGTTTCGATATTCCAGCATTCAAGGGATGAACAAAAACAGGAAAAGACGGATAGGGCAAGAAGGAATGAGGAAGTGGGAAAGCGAGAAGGGGGAGGAAGACAAACACCTGCCTGAATTGTAATGTTGACATAGGATTAAGTAACCACCCCCTATTAATCAATCCCAGCTCGACCCCCAATACTAAACTAATTTAAAACCTAGATTTCCACCTTGAGATCCCCCCCAATAATAATTTGTTTCCTGGGCAGAAACCTCCTCCTATTAATCAATCCCAGCTGCCCCAGAAAAAAAATAGTTTACCATTATATGTATTGTTCTTTTATATTTACTTCCTTTTTGGCTAGTATCCAATATCTTCTGGTCCATGGTGAAACTGATCTTCTGATCCACCCTTGTCTCATGCAATCTCTTGAGAGATAGCATTGGTGTCTTCATCTCGTCATCTTCCTGATTCTCACCACCACCTCTGAACTGCCTCATCCTGCTCACCAATCCTTTTGACGGCTTCTCCATTGTACCCTCTCTCCGAGGAGGGGTGCCTCCCCCATAAGGGCTCATGCTACCAACCATCACCCCAAACCCCAAAAAATATCTAGCAAAAGTCTTTCATGTTATCTTTTTAAAACTCTATCAACATCTTGACTTTTTCAAGCTCACAAAGGGTACCTACCCCTCGCACAGACCCTACCTCCCCCCAATAGTAGGACCCCCTCCCCCTATGAATCAATCCCACCCTTTGGCCTCATTCTTGTTTCCAATGCTATCGCCAAATGGTTTTCCAATGCTATCCTCCACAGGCCACCACTTATCAGACCATCCAGTCCATGGATCCACCCTCACCACAAATAGCCTCCACCTCCCATTCCTCATCCTCCATGCTTTGATTTGCAATGATCCAATTGGCATGGCTTTCTGATCAATCCTATCTGATCTCTTATCAAACTTGTGCCAATACACTCAGAGACCTCATGGTTCTCATGGTTCAATCTCTCATGACACAGAATCCCATCAACCATCATCCATCATCAGGTCCAGGTCCTCATCTCATCATCTATCATCAGGTCATCATCTTTATTAAGGGGATGTGGTCCTCCAATACCTCCAATCTCAGACCTTGCTGACCTTGTTGACCTTGAAGGGGGGGGGCCAGGTTGATTAATCCTACGTCGACATTAACGACGTCACTCGACGTCACTGCAAATTGGACCTAAGTTTCTGAATCAAGACTGGTGATTGTTTCTTACAATTTCTCTTTTGACTTGCTTGAATTTCTGTCCTGCAGCCTGAGCATCTTCTCAATGGTTGCATGGGCAAACGTCGATCTCAAACGCCAGATTTGATCTTTTCAGTGCCTGAAAAGCTCAAATTTGGCGTCTTGAGATGTTCCTGGGATCGATTCCTCCGAGGTCCGTGCTGTGAGTTTTCTCAAGATGCCAGACTTGAGCTGATCAGGGTGCGGAAAGCCCAAATTTGACATCTTGAAAGGCACCCTTGTTTACATTTGACCCAACTCGCCTTTTATCACGTTCATCTTGTTTTGCTTTGTCCTTTGCATGTTTCTTCTAGTGGTACGATTTTCGGGGGTCCTGGGCTCAACTCCGAGGACCGCTTCGTTTCTCAAGTCGCCAGGTTTGAGCTTTTTCGCGCCCGAAAAGCCTCAAATCTGGTGACGTGAGAAACGTCCCTAGGCTCGAGCCCTCCCAGGTCACTTTCCACCTTCGACGTGAAAAAGGAATGTGTTATTTAGTCTTATTTCAGATCGGAAATATATAATTTGAACGCAAGCAAGGGGCAGATAATTGATTCTGCTTACTGCAGCGTAACCGGCAAATACATAGGCACCTGCAACATCCAACAGTCCAATCCCCTCCTGTCTCCCTCATCCACCGCATCGTTAAACAAATGTTCCTTCGGTCCCGTCCTTGAGGCTCAAGTGAAGCCCTTCATCGGCTTATGATGTCCTTCAGTTTGTTTTGTGCCCTAAGTCTTCCAGCCTGTGAAAGAAGTGCAAGGCAATAAGCTTCAACCTGCTTAAGCATAGGACCCACAACAGCTGTAGTATGCAGATTGGAATTTGTATGAATTTGTTTGCTGCAGTTGTTGCACATGTTTGTCCGTTCACATCCTCAATTTTGCGCTCAATTTTGATGGATCTATAATTGTTGTTAAATCGCTTTTAATTACGTTGTACTGTACTTGATTTTACCCAAAATGCATTCAATGTTCTTTTGTTAAACGTTTTACCTAGCGTTCATCAATTAACTATTCCTTGAATTAAGTGTCCTGTCCTAAAAAAATGTCCTTAGTTTGCTTGCGTGTCCTGCTCTGGACCAAGTCACACCATGAACTGTTAATGCAATTTCGTAGTGTTCTCCTCAAACATAATTTTGGAATCTCCTTAAACCCCTGTTCTGAGAACATTTTTGGGAAGTGAACTTTTGACAAATCTTTTTTACATAATGATGTATTAGTTTAAACGATTATGATTAAGGAATCTCAATCGAGCCTTCAGGACATCCGTGTAAACATGATGAGCTGAAGCTACAGTAACTTCAGTAAGCTATGTTCAATGTTGTTCATTTTTATATACATACTGTGTTTGTTGCTGTTTTCTCCTTCATGTTTTTCCTCTTCATTGTCTCAGTTTGTGTTGACATGACACATGTTCTTACCAACAGCCGCTGCAGTAAGCAGAGCATGGTTGAAAACACATTTGTATGAAAATTAAGTGCAGTCAGCAGAAGGTGTAATTTCCGCTATTGTCACTATTGTATACATATTGATGGATTTTGAACCATGGCATTACTGCGAACACCACCTACTAATTGTGTTGAATTTGGAGATTTCCACCTGTGAACTTACAGACATATACAGTATATGTATATGGTTGTCGATCTAAAGGTTCTAGACAGGATTGTTGATGACGATGACCCGGAACATATAAAAATCTCATTTGGCGAAAGTTTTTTCTCGAGTTGGCTAAAGTATTTTTTTTGGCGAAAGATATGGCTAAAGATGTTCTTTCTGCTGCTGTTGCTACCACTACTACTACTACTCCTCCTCCTCCTCCTACTCCTACTCCTACTCCTACACTCCTGCTGCTGCTGCTGCTACTACTACTACTCCTGCTGCTGCAGCTACTACTACTATTACTACTACTACTACTACACTCCTGCTGCTGCTGCTGCTATTACTACTACTACTACTACTACTACTACCACTACCACTACCACTACCACTACCACTACCACTACCACTACCACTACCACTACTACTCCTGCTGCTGCTGCAGCTGCTACTACTACTACTACTACTACTATTCCTGCTCCTGCTTTGGGGGGGTGGCTTTGCCACAAAACTCTACCCCACAAAAGGCGAAAGTTTGGCGAAAGTTCAGCTCAAGATTGGCGAAAGTTCACCCTGCCACATCTGACCCCCAGCCCATTATGAGTAAGTCTGAGTGACCGGCTACTACAGTGATTCTTGCAATTTTTTTTGATTCTTGCTGACACCCAGGAGAAACAAAAGAGACGTACAGGGTGTCAACAGTTAAGTAGAAGACACATGCTGACAAACAGTGAAGTTTTTATTTTGTATTTGCCAGTAAAGAAGAAGCCATTGACTCCATTGACGTGAACAAAATTGATATCCATCACACAACTACATACATGGCACACATAAATACAACATACTTCGGCGGAAGATAAAGCGCAGGAAGGCGAATGTTTTTTGGCTAAGATGACGGATCCCGGATAAAGGAATTTAGATCAACACCCATATATCAATTGTTTGTCATACAGTATCATGTTTCTACCAATCCGACTGTTGGGTGCTGAGATGCCTTTTCTTAGGCTCATCGTACTTTCTTGCCGAGTCCCTAGCATGGTGACCCCTCAAGCTCATGCAAATCTGCAAATCACTGAACGATAGGAAGAGACATAAGCGGCCTTCGGTGGTCGAACAGGTGTCTTTTGCGGCTGCTATGGCCGAGTCTTGGCGACAAGAGGGTGAAACATGTGGAACTTTATCAAATGTGTTTTTAAAAGTCTTACTTCGCTACTTAATTAAGTCATACTAACTGAACGCAGGATAGCTCATGCTTGAATCTAGTCATGTGATTCCTAGTTTTTTTGGGCCACAAGGTGCTTATACCAATTGACTACACCATGTGCTGACTTGTTGGGCAAGACTCACGGTGCGAAAAGATCCAGCTGCACCGTCACACTGTGTTCAGACTTACACATCTCAAACATGTTTTGCACAGTCACACTGCACCTCTAGAGCAGCTCTAAAAATAGCTTCTAGTCGCATGTCGTGAATTTTGTTTTGTTGGCTTCATCCTGCGACAAGCTTTGGTGGCCAATTTGGCTAAGGCCACGCATGTACCAGCTCCATGGGTGAGAAAGCTACAGCAAGTTAAGTTGCAGGAAGTGGAGTCACATGCATAGTTGGAAAAAGGCGTTGCTCACTGTGCAAATGCTTTGCTTGGCACTATTTTTTGTTATTTTGTGCACATCCAAGCGAAACTTGTTTGTCCCACTGCAAGCTTCAAGGTTCTTTTGTTCACCTTCCTATGCATTTGATGCCAAATGCCTTGGTCTCGTCTCTTGTAAAATTTGTGGTGCTTTCCTTTGCGGATCGTTTGTCCATGCGTGGTTGATTGTACTAGCGGGGCTTGTGACGGGCTTGTGGCTGGAATCCTTTTTGCTTGAATGAAGGATCGGTTGATGATGTTGAATGTTTTCGTAGTTTGGTGCCTTCGCCCGGACATGTAAAAGTTACGGAACTGATTCCCACGCTGTCGTGTTTGTTCCATATTACTTTTCTTGTTCCTTGAGATGGGCACGATGACACTCCACTTTGATGCCATGGACTCATGCAGAGACATAGTGCATCATATATAATCCAAGATGCATCCTGAGACACTCATTTGCCAGGCAGTCACTGAAGCTTGCGTACTGACCGATGATGAGTTTCTCCAGCGTGCAAGACAGCAGGAGGCAACCATATTTGAGATGCACTTCATTGGCTTGATATCTTCCAGCTATATACTTGTTCCTCCTTCCTGGTAAGGTCAAGTCACTGAGTGCTACCACTTCTCCCACCTGCAGTAGAAGGGTTTAGTGCCAGTCATGATGACAAGTTCTGGATTCTGGATTCGTTATATTGGGTAAGAGGACGGATTTCGAAGTACATTGCCCCTTTTGCCTGATAGCTTCTACTTTGTGTCAGGCAAGCCAGCAGGGTTTTGCTTTGCTGTCGGTTCAGCAAAAGGCATTTCGCAACATACTCACATGAGCAATTGCTACCTAGGGTGAAGCACTGGTCGGCTTTCTCATCACGCGCGCTGCGCGCCACCGATGCGCCCCTTCCCCATGGCTTTGCAGTAAGATCATGTTTTATCGCAGCCAGGCTGTGTCTTTACTCGGATCTTCCCTATCGTGTGGAGAAACGGCATTCTTCACTCATTGCGGTACAAACCGAAGCTCACTAACACAGTCATGAGCCCTGGCTTAGCCGAAAGCTGCGCACTTGCCAGCTGGACAAGATGTGCTTCCTTTGAAGAGATGTGTCAGAGCATAGACAACACGGCATTGGCAGGAGCACACAAACGAATCAACAGGATCAGAGATATATAAACAAAGTGCAATGTGTGGTTTTTGTTTGGAGATCGTATCATCAACAAAACTGTGTAAAGTCAAACAAAAGAGACCAAGCGGCCTGATTCGACCTTTCAGGTCACCAAAAGTATATAATTGTAAAATATTCTAAGTATCGCACGTGGGGAAAAGAACTCATAGAAGCCCAATTTCATGGTGGGCAATGTGGAGTATTCGCGCGTGTACAGGGGAATGGAGTGCAAAACAAACCAAAGCCCTCACGATCCGAAATTCCCACAGTTACCGTTCCTCATTCTGTTCATATCAGAGTGTAGCAATAACAAAGCAGAAACCGGTGAAGACCAGCATAATGAGGCCAAGCGATCCACATCAGCAATGGGGTTCTTGCTTGTAACATTCTGTGTGAGAGTACTGATTGTCCCTTGTGCAAGAGCTTGTAAAACTCGCTGGATGTGAACATGGTTTGAGGTACGCCCAGTAGTGGAAGCCGATGCCCTTTGATGGTTCCAGCGTGGACCTGTTATTTATGAGGCTTACGCCTGACAGCCGGGCGCCGGCCAATTTGGGTTAGGGTCCGCGCAGGGCTGGATCCTCTCTCCCTCTCCCTCCCTCCCTCTCTCTCTCTCTCGCTTTCGCTTTCCCTCTCCCTCTCTCTCACTCTCTCTCTTTCCCTCTCCTCTCTCTCCCTCTCCTCTCTCTGTCTGTCTCCGTCTCGGTCCTCGGTCTCTGTCGGTCTCTGTCTCTGTCCCTGTCTCTGTCTCTGTCTCTTTCTCTGTCTGTCTCTGTCTCTGTCTTCTCTGTCTCTGTCTCGGTCTTCTCTGTCTCCGTCTTCGCTGTCTCTGTCTCTCTCTCTCTCTCTCTCTCGCTTTCGCTTTCCCTCTCCCTCTCTCTCACTCTCTCTCTTTCCCTCTCCCATGCCCATGTGGTCTATGTTGGGCACATCTTGGGCCCAAGTTGAGCCTATGTTGGGCCTAGGTTGGCCTATGTTAGGCCTATGTTGGCCTATGTTGGCCTAGGCTGGGCCTATGTTGGCCCCATGTTGGCCTATGTTGGCCTTATGTTGAGCCATTTTGGAGGCTATGTTGGGCATATGTTGGCTATCTTGGGCCTATGTTAGGGATATGTTGGGGATATGTTAGGCAACTTATGTGCCCAACACCCACGAAATGTCGATTAAGCCTGTCCGCGCGGCACGCATAACCGACACCACCGGCGCCCTGTTAGGCGAAAGTCGTATCCGCCGAAGGCCACGAAACACTGTAAAAAAACGATGTTTTTGAACATTTTTTGAACATCCTGCGCCAGATACATATAAATCTGTCGACCGGATTTAACCTGAGGTCGGGCGGGGGTTGACCGGGGGTCTCCCCGCGGTCCAACAAAAGGGTCGGCGGCAAGGGGCGCGAGCGTATATAACCTTCGGTTACCAACCGAAGGCCTCCGGCAAGGACACGGGCCCGTGGCCGGCGCCCGGATTTAAAGGCTTACGCCTAACAGCCGGGCGCCGGCCCACTTGGGTCTGTGGGGCGTATGTCACGCCTATGTTGGCCTTGGTGGGGCCTATATTGAGCAAAGTTAAGCTATCTGGCGCGCATCTTCGCCCTAGGTTGGGCCAAGTTGGGCCCATGTGGTCTATGTTGGGCACATCTTGGGCCCATGTGGAGCCTATGTTGGCCTATGTTAGGCGTATGTTGGCCTATGTTGGCCTAGGTTGGGCCTATGTTGGGCCTATGTTGGCGTATGTTGGCCCCATGTTGGCCTATGTTGGCTCTATGTTGAGCCATCTTGGAGGCTATGTTGGGCATATGTTGGGGATATGTTGGCTATCTTGGGCCTATGTTGGGGATACGTTAGGCAATTTATGTTGAAAAAATCTTCCGATACAACTTTTTACGATTTTTCCTTCCCGCAAAGCAAAAACACTGGAAAAACCTACGTTTTTTGACATCGCCAAGATGAAATTCTCGGCCGCCAAGGGCCCCAAAACCTTGTAAAACACAGTGTTTTTTATACCTCACACACACGATACACTGTAAATTACAGGGGCTTCAGTGAACCGGAAGTGACGAGGGAGTCCGCCCGTTTTGGGACCGAGGGTCGGCGGCAGGGGGCGCGCCCGTATATAACCTTCGGTTACCACCGAAGGCCCTCCGGGCATGCCACGGGCGTCCTGGCCGGCGCCCGGATTTACCAGGCTACCGCCTGCAGCCGCCGACCCCAAGGGAAAATGTAGTGGCAGGGGGTTACGTTTTCCGCTGGAGTTGTAGGATGTCAAAGGTTTTTGCAGCATTTACTTAGGAATGCTCTTGCTTTTTGCTAGAGCCTGTCACGTTTTCAGCTGGATTTGTAGGAGTTTCAAAGGCTTTTCCAGCATTTCCTCTGGTTTATTGGGGTATCTGTACAGGCATCGTGTTGGTTTTTGGGTTCCCAGGTTTCCCCACAAAATTGTTAACCCATTTTCTTGCATTGCGGTATCTGTGCCTTTCATGCGCTCTACAGGTTAGCAATTTTTTGGGGAAATCTGGGAACCCAAAAACAAGAGGAAATGCCACAAAGTCCTTTGAAAAGCATACAAATCCAGCCGAAAACGTAACAAAATCTAGACAAAGCCAAGAGCATTCCTAGGAAAATGCTGGAAAAGCCTTTGAAAATCCCACAAATCCAACAGAAAACGTGACAAAATCTAGGAAAAATCAAGGGTATTGGCGGGGATCACGCCGCGACCGCCCCGGGATTCGAGCCCGGGACCATTTATGGACCGTGCTTATTTTCCCGTGCGGGTGGAGAGGGTGCCCCAAGATGTAATTAATTGGGATGGACAAATCTTGGACAATCCTTGGCGAAATCGTGTCGAAATTTTGTCGCAATCTTGGCGAATCTTGGGGAATCTTGGCGGATTTCGTCACTGCAACAAGGGTCCGGAGGGGTAGGGGAGGTAAGGCTAAGGTCTAAGGCTAAGTCTAAGTCTAAGGCTAAGGCTAAGGCTAAATCAACAGTCACGCCTCACCCCACGAGTGGGGTCGGCGGATTTAATTGGGGAAGTCACGACGGTTTTGTGCAACTGAGATTTGGGTCTCAGGACTTCTCGATCCAATCCGGTTACTGACTAAGGACCCAATTAGTGTCCCGCCACTTGCATACCTCGTTCCTTCCCTGGGACATGTTCACGCCTGCTTGTGGCGCTGGGAGGTTCTTGCCTTGCATTATTTCCACATCAAAAGTTGCACCCTTTCTCCCGAGAAGTAAAGAACCTGTAAGCAAACGGTGCCTACCATGTCTTGAAAGTTTCTGCACTGGCTTTTTGATATGTTGAACCCCGCGCGCCGTGCAGTTTTCGGCTTGCTTTTTCAGAATGCATTGACTTTCTCGTGGGGTGTGACATGCCAATTCGATCAGCGGGTGCGTCCAGGTGCTTGATGGTTCCACACTCATCCTGGGCATTGTTTACCCGGAGGACTCAAAGCGTAGAAAAGTGTCCAGGAAGACCTTCAGAGACAAAATACTGCGTAATATGTTCAAGTTTTGGACTGCTATCCGCAATGCACCTGAAGCACAGAAAAAGTAGGTCCAGTCCACCCAACTAAAAGGTGGGGCAGTCCTCGTGGTCATCCCAACTACTGTGGGGCAAAAGTTGAACAAAGGAGAATGTGCTGACAACCAGTTCTGTGCAACAACTGTGATAGGGTACAATTTATGTGTGTTTATGGGGTGATTTATCAGATTGCATTTCTGTTGCTGCTGGCTCTGCAGTGATGGGGTGAATAATACGGTTTGTTTTGATGTGCATGTAAGAATAACAGAAGTCAGCTTTTAAGACTCTGTGATTGAGTGGCGAAAAGGGTCTGAGGATTCCGTCAGCAGGCAAGCGCTGCCGCTAACATATATGAATGTATGCCCCCGGAAGTTAAGACGACCGGGCTGCCACCTTTTTTGCTCGATAGATCTCGGCTCAAACGTATGCGGCGCACGGCTTGTGGACTCCTGACTGGCGGGGAGTCCGAGGACCTGTGTACTTTCTGCAGGTCTCGAAACAGG